TGTTTGTTATAGAAATTAGTTATCTCAGATAGTTCTGTAGGATCCATATCATGCAAAATTATATATCCTTACACAAATGCATAATACAGTTGTTTAACAAAAAGTTTTCTTATACATGATTCCAAGTTCAAGTCATTATTTGTTTTATGGACATTACTTGCATTGCTTGTGGGCATTAACATTTCGAGAAAATCTTTGGTATTGCTAGTTATGAAATAGAAATGTATTTTGTATTATATGGCAAATTAGGCATTTAAATAAGCTTTTGAATAAACTTAATTTCTTAACTTATCAAGACTGAGAGATATGAGTTTTTCAGTGAGAGAGAGTATTTTAGACAAGGGTTTAGTAGTGAAATTTGTATTCATTATTGAATACCAAGATATCTAAAAATTTTAGAAATCCCACAGTAGGTAGTATGGAACATAATGTAGTGGAAATTCCTTCTATTGCATTCCATGACATAGATTCTAAAGGGCCTGGTTAGATTCTGTGTCAAATCGTTGTCCAGGCTTTTTGACTCCTAGTCATGATCGCAGAGCTTGTACAGCCACCCTGAGGTGGACAAAAACAGCAAATTCCAATGTATGTGTAGAGACTGATGGGGCGGCACATAGGTTTGACACCTTTGTATCAAGGCAATTTTGTTGCCTCTTAGCTCCATTAAATCTATAAATCTCTCTTCTTTGCCAAAGAGCTGTAAGCTTTACCAGTGGAGGGTTCTGAAAGGACACAGCAGGAGGAACTAGGTTCTATTTATTCTTGATTCTGGTATGGACTGGAACTCGCTGGCCCCACTGCTGCAATGCAGCCCTCCATGGTGTTTTTGCCTAGCAGATTTTGGGTGCCACTCTAGCCTGCTTCTGTCTGTCACATTGATGGGGTTTCCCTTTTTTTTGCTCCTGGCATGGTTCAGTGCTTTCAGCCCTGGCACCCTGGTACTACAGCCTAGGTTTCCAGCTTGCTGGTCCCATTTGGAATTCTGTGATCATCAACCCATTTTAGTGAGTGTCCCCTTTCATAAGGGTCAAACGTCCTCCCACCTGGCTACTGCTGGAGCTTCCCTACTCCCTGTTCTGCCAGGGATGTTAGACACCAGCATCAGTAAGGACATTGGCAGTTGAAAATGGGCTACTTTTATTTTTAACTCAGCGACCTTGAACAATAGTGATCACCTACTAGAATGTCTCTGGGCCAGTTTTTACACCTCTAAATGAGGACTTTGGACCAGATGGTCTTCAAGACTCAGTCTACACCTGGCTTCTCAATTCAGAAATAAGTAAAAGTCTCTCCAAGGTAATGATTTTCCAAAAAGCACTGAGTGGAGATTTAAAAGAAAACCAAGTGTAATTTGGTTGGTTATATGAGCATTATAGCATGAGAGATTAATTCACTTAGAACACTCTGTACTAATGGACAACTCTAGTTAAATTATATGGAGAGTTGTGGTAAAGACATTTGCCAGCTGAATCACCACAAGGAAATTTTAAATTGTTTCAGAGAAGCAATATTGCTTTTAAGATTTTATACTGGAAGAATAAAACAAACTGAGAAGTTTATATTCAATGGTAACATTTTAGCCTTTATATCCACAACTTCAGTAATAACAGATCCTTTAGCTTATGGAACTGAAACATTTAATAACTCATGTTTCTATTCAATGACATTGCTTCCTTCCTCTAACATTTTTAAATATAGCAATTACATTTCAGAATGTATTGCTCATTGAATGAAATACATCCCCATTATGTAGTTCAGAAGTACTTGTCCTTTGCCTGAACTGCAGTTGGGATTGGGGCTTCCGTGGTAATATCTAAGTGATGGCTTGGAGCTACCTTGTGTCTTCTGGGTGTCTGTACACATTAGGAGTTTAAGTAGAGGGGCTGGGGATTTAGCTCAGCAGCATAAGCACCTGCCTTGCAAGCAGGCGGTTGTAAGTTCAATTCTCGGTACCGGTAAAAAAAAAAAAAAAAAAAAAAAAAAAAGGAGTTTAAGTAGACTAGGGCTTGATGGAGGAGGAGTACAGTAATGGTTTTGAGAGTACTGGGTCACTTTCAACTCTGAGCTAAAATGAACTCTTCATCCTTGCCCTAGCATATACTTCAGTTATCAGATAGACATGGAATTTTCAATTTGTGCAGGAGCAAAGTAGTTCTTTGAATACTCATTCCATGGGATACATAATAACTAGTGATAACCCTATTATAAATCAAAGTACTTGCAGAAAGCATTTACGTGTCTTATTCTAGTAATGCTTTTGCTGACATGCCTGTAAAACATAATTAATTAGTCAAGTACCTTTTGATAAAATTTAGCAACCAAATATGAAAAGGCTATAAAGAATATTTCCTTTACTGGTCAGGTCAGTGTGTTTTTATCCATATGTTGTTTACCATTTTGTCTGTGGTTTTTAACTTTCTCATTTAAGTTTGTGGTTTATTCTTTATGTTGTGTTCTTTTGGACACACATGCCTTAGAGGAAATAAATCTATTTAAATATAAGAAACAGAACAGACAGATAACTATATTTTCTAAGGGCTATAGTTCAGTGAGAGGTTCAGGAAACCTCCGATTAAATCTATGTTTTTAAGAACAGTAAATTTTTTTTCTCTCAAAAACACACCTTTTTCTCAACCATCGTCATCTTTAGTGTAAATCAGAAAACTGAAAGGAAAAATCCCCCCCCGCCCCGTTTCTCCAAATAAATAAAAATAAATGTCTTTTTCTCTAAGATAATCTCATGTTTCTTTGGAAGCTAACAACAAAAAACAAAACAATAAAAAAACCTGAAAAAGCAAATTCCAGTGCCTGTTTATGCTGATCAAGATGTTACATCCTTTCACGCAGTCTGTGTGTCCCCACCACAGAATATTAAATGGAATTAAGAAGATGAGGAAGTCAGGTGGACCTTTTTCTTTTCATTAAAAGTAAGCCAGTCTTTTTGCTTCATTCCTGATTCTGATGAATTTGCAGCACACAAATGCCCTTTGTTTCCAGCTGTATTTTAAGTCATCATATCATATGATGTCCTGGTGAGTACAAAGCGGTACAACTTTAGATGGTGAGAAAATGCACTCAGACATCAGGCCTGCATTTTAAATTGCAGTTTTTATTCATACCTTGTTTACTAGTACAAATTAATTTATTAAGCCCAGTTTTATTTTAGAAAGAATGTGCGACCCATGTCTTTGTCATGAGTGTTTTTTTGTCATTATCAGATCATGTACTTAAAATGTAACCTGATAGTATTTTTAATAAGGCATTACTATTAAAACAATTTAATTTGGTAAATTTCCTAAAAATCATGTTTAAGTGATAGCAAAGTTGTTTCTTTTTGTTGCTATAGCTGCTCGCTGCTTTAAAAAGTTTTATTTTTGTCAAATAATTGTATATATTATGGGATACAGTTTGAGTGCATTTCATGGAATGATTGAATTGAGCTAATTGAAATATTCATCATCTCAAATGTTTGTTTTCTTTGGGGGATAATTTAAAAATCCTTTTGGTTATGTAGAAATGCACAGTGTGTTATTGCCATGTTTTGTGGCAGATGACCCGGACAGCTTCCCGGGTAAAAGAAGCTTTGGACTTTGGACCAGCTTTCCTGCTCTCCCTGTCCCCTGCCGCTGCCCCAGACAAGCCACTGATAAATGCTCTGTTCTCTAAGTCCATGTTGTTTGTCCATGAAAGTGAGACCTTGTTGTTGTGATTGTCTTTTCATGACCGCACGGTTACAAGGCAGGTGCTTATGCCGCTGAGCTAAATCCCCAGCCCCGTTATTGAATATATTTCAGTTCCAGTTTTTTTTTTTTTTTTCTGATGTGGAGTCTTTTAGAAAACACAATTTAATTTTTCCTATATAGATGCCTTTTCTTCCTGGTTAATAACTTTGGCTAGGTCTTCTACTATTAGATTGAACAGAAGTAGAGAATGCAAGTCTTCATCTTGTTTCCTAATCTTCGTGGAACGCCTCCAGTTTTTTACCTGTGAGTATGATAATGGTGGTCTTGTCATGTATGGCCTTCCTTGTGTTGGATACAGTCCTCTGATATCTAATTTGTTCAGAATTCTTAGCATGAAGGGATGTTGATTTTTATTGAATGTTTTGTCTGCATCTGTTGAGATGATTCTACTTTTTTGTTGTTGATTATGTAATTCAGTTGGTTGAACCTTCCTTCTATCCTAGGGATAATGCCTATTTGATCATGGTGAATGATACATTGATCTCCTGCTGAATATGATTTACTAGTATTTGTTGATGATTTTTATATGTATTCATCAGAGGTAATTTTCCTGTAGTTTTTTTTTCTTTCTTTCTTGTATTAGGTTTCTGGTTTTGTTGATAGCAGAGTGATTTGGCATCATAAAAATACTTTTGTATTATTTTTATCTATTTGTTTTGGAAAAGTTTGCAAGGGATTTATATTAGTTTGTCTTTAAATATTTGATAGAGTGTAGTTGTGAAGGTACTGGGTCCTGGGCTTTTTTTGGAGGAAACTTTTAACTGTGATTCAGTCTCATTATTGGTCAGTTCAGATTTCTTTGTGATTTAGTTTTGGTAGGTTATGTGTCTCTAATATCTGATTATTTTCATGGTTCACAATTGTTGACATAGTTTCTCATAGTTATCACTTAGGGTCCTTTTTACTTTGTAGTATCAGTTGTAATGTCTCATTTCATTCCTGATTTCAATTTTTATTTTCTTGATTAGTATCACTAAAGGTTTGTTGGTTTTACTGTGGCAAAATTTTGTGTATCTTTATTGTGCTTCTATTCACAATTACATTTATTTTTGCTCTGATTTTTGTTTCTTTCCTTCTATCTTTGATTTTACTTTGTTTTTGTATTTTCTTGTATGTTGTTGTTTTTTGGAGATTTGTTTTGATGTAGATGCTTGCTGTGTTTCCCTCTTAGAACTGCTTTTTCTGTATTCTATATTTTTAAATTTGTCTTATGCAATCTTTGAACCAGTAGTTGTTCTGGGCTATATTTTTTTTTCAAGTCAAATGGGTAATTGCTGATGTTGTAAAAAGGTTTGAAGGAGGCGCATGTAATGCATGCAGCATGAACTCCTAATCACCGTGCTTATGAACCTGAGGATCCCGAGGTATATTTTTAAATTTCCATATAGTTATTAATTTCCCATTGTTCTTTTTAATTTATGACTTCTAGTTTTATACCATTGTAGATGAAAAATACTCGATATGTCTATAAACTCATTAAAACTCATCTTGTGGACTGTCATAGGATTTATCCTGAAGCATTCTCCACTGCACATCAAGAATATGTAATCTGTTGCTGTTGGCTAGAAGCTTCTGTATATGTCTGCTAGGTTCATTTCATCAAGAGCACAATTCATCTTCCGCGTTTCCATGTGAATTTACTATCTGACTAGTTTGCTGTTGAATTTGGGTTATAATTTTGAAATCTCTTAATTTTGTTTTGTTGTCTGTGTCCCTTCAAATTTTGTAACATTTGAGATACACAGAGACACAGACATGCACACACATATGCTGTGATGGATGGTTCACATATATTTATAATGTTTATATCCCCTCAATGAATCAACTTTTTATCACTATATATTGACTTTCTCTGTGTTTGTATGTCAGTTTTGGTCTAAAGTCTTTTTTTTTTTTCTAGAAATAAGTATAGGTACTCCTGCTCTCCTTTGGTTCCTGTTCCATACAGACTATCTTTTTATATCTCTGCTTTTAGTCTGAAAGTCTTCTAAGGTACACTGAGGGTCTTGAATGTACCATGTCACACTGTCTTGTATTCATACCTGTTCAACCCTGACTGCCTTTGCATTGGGAAACTTAGTCCAGTTACCTTCAAAGTACTCAGTAATAGGGGATTTTTGATGCTTTTTTGCTATTTGTGTTTGTAGCTTATTTATTATTTTCTTTCTGTCTTGATTTCTTGTTTTGTGATTCGATGATTTGCCTGGTGTTAAGTTTTGGATCTTTTCTTTTAACTTTTTTTGGTGTATTATAGCAACAGTATTGAACAGCAGTAGTATTAAGGTAGGATAGAAGAAATGAAGCTAGGTAGGAAGGAGACAAGGAAATGAAGATTTTTAAAATTAAGAAAACTGCAACTTCAGGACATAACAGTTACTCAAGCCTTTTTCCCTTTTGGGAAACTCACTCAAAAAAAAAAAAAAAATCCTAAAGATCCTTTTACAATAAGCCTGTAAATCAGGGCTCTGAACACATGTGGGTGGCTTGTATTGTCACCTGACAGTGAAAATATATATCCTAGAGCACTCATCTTGAACACACCTCCTTAAACATACCCCACTCTGTCTCATAATGTCTCATTTCTGAACACCCACCCTCCATTCTTTGAGAGCGTCCTGAACCTATATATCTCTAATAAACTTTGTCATGTCTTGAAAGTTTATTTTCTTGCAATAGCAATCAGAAAGTTGCAAAGTTATTTTAAAGGATGGGATAGGTCCCAACCCAGTGACAATCTTATTTTCTTTAGTTTGTACCCAGCTAAAGTAGAGCTGACTGGGGCAAGCACAGCCGGAAACACAAGTACACAAGTACCTTATTTTTTTCCTTTCATTTTATTCTTTTATGTTCTTTTTTAATTTTGAAAATAAAACAAAATAGAATAAAAATGATGGTATAGAATTTCAAAACAATAAGAAATTAACACTAGTTAATGTATTGCATATTATCTTCAAAGTAGTTGTTTAGATTACAAGATTTAGGTATAAAAATGATCAGACAAACAATGGAAGCATTAGATGTTCTTTTCGATGAACTAACAGAGATTAGTAGTATAATTATCTGTCTTGGGCCAGATATTTAGCTCAGCAGCTTAGCGTAAGCGCCTGCCTGGCAAGTGCTGGGTTGTGAATTTGATCCCTGGTACCAAAAAAAAAAAAAAAAAAAAATCTATCTTGTGTGTGTGTGTATGTGTATTATATATATATATATATATATATATATATATATATATATAATCTTTTCCCTTCTTCCTTTTCTCCTATCCCAGTTGTTCTTTCCTCTCAAGCACTTTCTTTCCCTTTCATTTTCACAATATCTGTTGTATATTTGGATCTTTTTTACTCTTTCAGTTTTTTTTTTACACTAAGGGAAACAATATGACATTTACACATGCAAGTCTGATTTATTTCACTTATGAGTATGGTCTTAGGTTGCCTCCATTTACCTATAAAAGCCTCAAGTTTATCTTTATATCTGAGTAATACTTCATTGTATAAAAAGAAAACATCACTGGTCATTTGAGAAATACAAATCAGAACAACAGTGAGATTGCATCACACTCCAGAAAGAAGGGTTGTCATCAAAAAATCAACCAATAACAAATGCTGGGGGGATATGGGGAAAAAGGAGCCCTTCTCCACTGGTGGTAGGAATGTAGACTAGCACCACTACTGTGGAAATCAGTGTGGAGACTCCTCAAAACACTAGGGTTGGAGGTCCTATTCAGTCTAGCTCTTCCCCTTCTGGGGATTTTCCCAGAAGAATTGAAAACATCATGCCACAGTGATGTGTGTGCACCCATGTTTATAGCAGTACGTTTTGTAAATAGCTAAATCTTGGAACCCACCTAAATGCCCATCAACCACAGAATGGATAAAAAAGTACTTTATTTTTTACAGTTCACATGTATAAGTGCTATACTTAAAGTAGGTCAAGGATATATTTACTGATGCTAATGTTAGAATTTAGTCATTAGGAGGGAGAATTTTATAAGTGAGACCGGGTCATAGGACTTGGGAATCTGCTGGCTGGGTGGGATCCTACAGTGACTGGTTATTTAATCTGGCAGTCTCAGGCTTTGATAAACAGGACTAAAAGTAGTATCTATCTCCTGAGGTGGTAGGTTTGGATGAGCTAATCTCCATCCAATGCCTAGTACTGTGTGTAATATTATAAATACTTGCGAGCTTTTGTTATGCAGATAGTTTCAAAGCTGTAGGTAACAGCCATCATTTGTTGTTCAGTGTCTTCAGGTTGACTGGGTGATGATTGGTCTGGGAGGGACCTGACAGCTGCTCTGCTGATGGCTGCTGTCTGGCTGTGCACAGCTCCTTCCTGAGGACATGCTCTTGTTTGCTCCCTTTCTTTGGACCCTGGGCTGAAGGGGCAGCAGGAGATATTTCCTCACTGGCAGGAGATGTACTATTATAATTGGAAAAATGTGATATTTTAGAAGGAATATACATGGACTGCCAATTCCACTCACATTTCTTTACTGAAAGGAGGCCACGTGAAAAGGCCGCCATTGGTGAAGTTCACATCTAGTGTATTCACACCCATGAGGCGGTTCTGGGGTGCGGGTGTATCATTCTATTACAAGAAGAGGACTTACAATTGAATCTAATGCAGTAGTCAGGAAGTACTACTAGCTCCTGCTTCCACTGCTTTTCTTTTAATTATTCTTACCCTCCTTCTGTTCTCTTGCCATGAACTTTGTGGCATACAGCATATAGGTACTGAACCCGTAACATTCTTGTGGTTTTAGCAGCAATACAAGCCCGAATAGTAGCTACATTTCTTTTTCACAACCAACAATAGCTCTTTTTCTTATACTTCGGCTTAATTTCAACCCCGCGGTTTCAGTTCCTTCTGGAGCCTTCCCTGGTGTGTGCGTTTCCTGGTTTTACCATTCTTCTCCCTGGTTCCTGGTGATGTAAGCAGTGGATGTTACTGGCGAACCCTGTGCATGATGGTAAGTTCACTCTTGGTTCTTTCAAGTCTCTTGCCATGGCTTTTTGATGGTTTGATTCTCATGGACGTAACTGTGAATCTCTGTATTACTCTTACTTGGAAGTTCATGCGACTTTTTGGATGTGTAGGTTACTTTTTAAAAAATCAAATATAGAATGTTCTTAGTGATTATGTTTTCTAAAAAATGCCTTTTGCTCTTTTATCTCTCCTCTCTCCTTTTAGATGGCTCTTTATACATATTTTGGAGTGCTTCATTATATACTACAGATCTCAGAGATTCTGGGTTTTTTTTACCTTTTTGTTTCTCAATTTAAATTATCTTAGCATCTTCATATATACTGGTACTTTTTCCTAATTGCTTAAGTGTGCTGTCATTTTTGTCTAGAGAATTTTTCTTTTGTATTAGTTTTCAACTCTCAAATTTATATCTCTTCCTTTCTGAAAACATTTCTAGCTCTTCATTTTTAAGAATTTTTTTTATTTTTTGCTACCTGGAATTGAACTCGGGACCTTGTGCTTATCAGGCAGGCACTGTGCCACTGGGCTCTATCCCCGGCCTTCTACTCTTTATTAATGTCATCTAGGAAAGTAGTGTTCTTGTATCTTGATTTACATACTGTTTTATTTAGTTTATTCAATATATGTAAATAATTTATTTGCTTTGTCTACTAAGGCCAAAACCTAGGTTTCCTTAGGTCAATTCTCCTCATTGCTTTTGTTCTTTGTAAGTGGTCCTATGTTCCTGATTGTATACTTCTCTCTTGTTTTCTCAGTGGATACCTTTAGGACTATAATTTGACAACACATGATGTCAAATCCTTTGTTCAGAGTTTGCTTCTATAAATGTTGTGTTGCTATTTATTTAACAACTTTCCTGAAGTAATTCTCTACACAGGGTCCTGTGGGGTCATTGGAGTACCTTTGGATAGCTTGGGGTCAGTCAGCCAGTGGATACACAGAGATTTCCTTTAATATTTGTTTCCTAGCATTCTCCTAGCCTTTGCTTAGGGACTCTACAGATATTGGGGAATGCGTTTTCTTTCAGTGCACAGGGAAACAATTTAAAACTCTATTTTAGACCACTTTTCCTATGTGTGCAGAGGTACATGACCGTCTAGGGCTGGTAGTGTGTGTCCTTCTCGGGTCTTTCTTAGGCATGAGCACAGCTCTGATCATATACGTGGCTTTTCTTAGTTCATCAAGAATAGGTTTGAACTTTTCAGAATCTGTTATGGGCATCACCTTCCCTGGCTTATTCTTTGAAGTATTTGATATGCTTGTTTGCCCAACTATTATCAGCAGTGTAGACGTGATATTGAGCAATTACTGCTGATTGTTTTTAGCAAAAACTCAAAGAAAACCGAGTAAACTAGGAAGATAAACCTTA